GACCATGAAACAATACCTCCTCCCACCCCACTCTCCTGCTGGTAATAGCTTATCTAAAGTGATCATCAAGTTGGGCCATTTCCAGCACAAATCCAGGTTTTCTCACCCCCCCCCACCCCCCTCCAAAAACCACACACACAAACTCACTCTCCTGCTGGTAATAGCTCATCCAAAGCCCACCTTGATTATCATGCACATTGTAGGGAGAGTGGTCACTTTGGATGAGCTATTACCAGCAGGAGAGTGAGTTTGTGTGTGTGGTTTTTGGAGGGGGGTGGGGGGGGGTGAGAAAACCTGGATTTGTGCTGGAAATGGCCCAACTTGATGATCACTTTAGATAAGCTATTACCAGCAGGAGAGTGGGGTGGGAGGAGGTATTGTTTCATGGTCTCTGTGTATATAATGTCTGCTGCAGTTTCCACAGTATGCATCCGATGAAGTGAGCTGTAGCTCACGAAAGCTCATGCTCAAATAAATTGGTTAGTCTCTAAGGTGCCACAAGTACTCCTTTTCTTTTTGCAGATACAGACTAACACGGCTGTTACTCTGAAACCATTGAATTTCATCTGTCACTGTTGTCCAGTCATCCCGTTTTGTGAGATCACTTTGTAACTCTTTGTAGTCTGCCTGGGACTTAACTATCTTGAGTAATTTTGTACCATCTGCACACTTTCCCAACTCACTGTTTATCCCTTTTTCCAGATCATTTATAAACAAGTTGAATAGCACTGGTCCTAGTACAGATCCTTGTGGGATTCTGCTGTTTACCTCTCTCCACTGTGAATACTGACCATTTATTCCTACCCGTTGTTCTCTATCTTTTAACCAGTTACTGATCCATGAGAGGACCTTCCCTCTTATCCCATGACTGCTTACTTTGCTTAAAAGTATTTGGTGAGGGACCTTATCAAAGGCTTTCTGAAAATTCCAGTACACTATGTCCACTGGATTGCCCTTGTCCACATGTTTGTTGACCCCATCAAGGAATTCTAATGGAGTGGTGAGACATGATTTCTCTTTACAAAAGCCATGTTGACTCTTCGCCAACATATTGTGCTCATCTATGTGCCTGATAATTCTGTTCTTTACTATAGTTTCAACAAATTTGCCTGGTACTGAAGTTAGGCTTATTGGCCTGTAATTGCTGGGATTGCCTCTGGAGCCTTTTAGAAAAAATCGGCGTTACATTAGCTATCCTTCAGTCATCTGGTACAGAGGCTGATTTAATGGATAGGTTACATACCACAGTTAGTAGTTCTGCAATTTCATATTTGAGTTCCTTCAGAACTCTTGGGTGAATACCATCTGGTCCTTGTGATGTAGTACCATTTAATTTATCAGTTTGTTTCAAAATCTCCTGGACTGACAACTCAATCTGGGACAGATCCTCAGGTTTGTCATCAAAAAAGGGCAGCTGAGATGTAATCTCCCTTATATCTTCTGCAGTGAAGACTGATGCAACAAATTTATTTTGATTCTTTACAATGGCCTTGTCTTCCTTGAGTGCTCCTTTAACATCTTGATTGTCCAGTGGCCCCACCGATTGTTTGGCAGGTTTTTGCTTCTGGTGTTCTTAAAAAAGATTTTGCTGTTAGTTTTTGTGTCTTTTGCTAGTTGTTCTTCAAATTCTTTTTTTGGCTTGTCTAATTATACTTTTATGCTTGACTTTCCAGAGTTTATGTTCAGGGTTGACTTCCACTTTTAAAAAGATGTGTTTTTGTCTCTAGCTTTCATCACCACAGTATCTGTGTCCCTTTGATAGACAGGCACTTTATTGCTTAGGCCTTTAATAATTAATAATGAGCCACTGAATGCACCTTTTATTTCATAAGATGCACTTTATCGGCAGTGTTCCTAACTCACTGTTATATTAACAGGTTTATTGACTGAATCACAATTAACAGTTAACAGTTTCATTATTTTAAATCGAACCTCTTGTTTAAAATAATCCATCCAGTAAGTTGCTGACTCCTGCTGTTTAAGAACTTGCAGCCTTTTGAAGAGACAGCTGGATTAATATATTATTGAATATATTTAGAATCCTTTAATGCTGATTTCACAATACCCTTCAAGTAAACCACACTTACAAAGTACAAAGGTATGAACAGAGTTTTGCGATTAAATTCTCAAGGGTTCTTTCAGTTGTGATGCCAGTAAAATGTTGCATGTGTTCTGAGAAGGCTATAAATAACAGTAAGGCAATGAACTTAATTCAGCATGACATTTCTATTAACAAGAAGGTAAAGGAGAGCACTGTTTACAAGAAGACCAACTGTCTAGTATACTTTGGGTTTGGGGTATCAGGCTGAGAATGGAGCTGAGTACAGCAGAAATTAAATTTTTGGGAGGGTCTCCATTAGAGGAATAGATGCTTCCACAACCTTTGTCAGCCCTGAAATGGGAAGACTATCACCATCTTCCAGCAAGAATAATTTTTTGGGTTAAGAAATATGTGTGAGAGCTTTAGCTATTATTAAGATAGTGGCTCTTTGTTACTTCCATTGGATTTTGAGATAGACTGTCTGTCTGGTTTTGAGCAGGTTATCCACTGTTTTGACTAACAGTAATTAAAATGAAATGGCAGATGTTTCTTCACTATGTACCTTTTTGTCTGTCTTATTGAGCTAAATTATGCTGCTGATCTCTACTGGGCCTGCTGAAGTACTGAACTAGAGCTGTACAAAGCAACCATCTCTCTCATTAACCACTGGGAAATGCTGTGCAAGAAAGGGGATCACTCAAGCCAGCAGCAGGGAAAGAGTAACTGGCAAATATCTGTTCCTTTAGAAATTTCTCTTCATCCCTAAATAATAATACTCTCTTTTCCTGAGAGGAATAGGGGATAGAAAAGAAGGGAGTGGAGGGATGAGAAGAAGAAAGTAAATAAAAATGGAAATGCTGTCAAACTCTCTGATTTATTTTTTTAAGAGTTTAAAAGTGGCATCCCTATTTGCTGTACAGTAATATAGATGGTCATTGCCTACATAGCCCTCTCAGCTTTCTTGTGAATTATGATCAGCCTTCACACATTTTCTTTGCACCCCTGACTTCCTGAAGTTGGGTCACATCATAAGACACTGTTGAAAATGGAAGACAATGTAGAGAGCACTACTAGCCATGTACACTCTTTTAAAAAAATCTATTTAATAGAAATTAGAGAAAAAGAGCACTTGCAGATATTAGATTACCTAGTTCAGTGACGGCCAAATGGCTACCGATGACGTAAGCCCCACGGGCAGAGACAGTGTTTTGTCCTGCACCTCACAATGTAAGGGGTCCTGGTCCATGAATAGGTCTCCTAGGTGCTATGATAATACAAATAAGAATATTAAGCCCAGGAAGACTAAATGTCTCAGCAAGCAATGCATCATCTTGATCTCAGACGAGACTGCCTGGAAGAAGATGAAATATTGCACGGTGATACCTGTGTTCATTCTGAGCTACGTCTATGTTACAGATGACAAAAGCTTCAGTGTGTTTTATTTCATGCAAATTAAGTGGGGCCCTCTGTGATGTTACACCCCATATTTGTCATAGAAATATTGTTATGACATGAATATGGCATAACTAAGATATGTTTTATGCAAGGTGGGTCATGTGAGGTATCATTGAAAAGGTTATGATCTACTGAATGTGCTTATCCAATTTGTATGTATATATGATTTTTGTATCTGAGGTTAGGAATATTGACTTTATAACAATTACAACTGCGTGTGTACTTGGGGGAACGCCCACCAGACAGTAGGCAATCAGCCTGAATGAGCCATTTAAGAAGGACAATAGAACTTATAGAATATTAGGGTTGGAAGAGACCTCAGGAGGTCATCTACTCCAATCCCCTGCTCAAAGCAGAACCAACATTCACTAAATTATCCCAGCCAGGGCTTTGTCAAGCCGGGCCTTAAAAACCTCTAAGGATGGAGATTCCACCACCTCCCTAGGTTCATTCCAGTGCTTTGGAGATACTAATCTCCCACCATCCTGAGGAGCTTTGTTGCTTTGACACTGCAGGGTCATCTGATGATGTCACCTGGTACAGAGTACCATCTTGGACATTGCTGGTATTTTTCCACTGGAAACAAAGGGTTCTTGCTTTATGTAAATTCTATTTAAGGCTGGGGAGTAAGACAAACAGGACTGGTCTCCATTGCCTCCCAGTCCAAGAAGGAAGATTGCTAAAAACACCTGAAGGGAAAGGCAGGGGTTGAGTCCAGGCTGAGACGGGTCCAGTCTGTAAAGAGAAATAACTGGAACTCTAAGCTACAGAAACTCTGCAACTTGCCTAAAACAACATTTAGGGTGAGAAATTACATTTTGTAATCTGTTTCTTGGGTGTATTAAGCTTCATTTGCATGTTTTGTTTTATTTGCTCAGTAATCTGCTTTGTTCTGTTTGCTATCCCTTATAATCACTTAAAATTTATCTTTTACAGTTAATGAACTAATTTCTTGTTTATTTCAAAACCCAGTTTGTGCCATTCATACCTTGGGGGGGGGGGGGGAAGCTGTGTACATCTCCCTCCACAGTGAGGGAGGGGTGAATTTTTATGAGCTTGCGGTGTGCAGAACTTTCTATACAGTTCAAGACAATATTACTTTGGGTTTATGCCACAAAGGAGGTGTGCATGTGAGTGGTGGGAAATCCCCGAGCTGATTCCTCCCACACAGAGCTGATCTCAGTGTCTGTGTCCGTTTGCAGCAGGGTGTGTCCCTACCTGTGTATGTGTGCTGGAGAAGGCTTGAGGGCCTGGCACACCTAGGGCAGGGTGAGGAAACCCAGGCTGGTGGAACAGGCAGAACCAGTGGGACCCCAGCACATCAGGTGGCATCCCGGACAGGGGGTTCAACCTGTCACACCCTCATCTCTTGGAAAGCTGCTGATACAGTGTTTAGTTGGTCATAGCTTGGAGGCCCCAGATGTGGTCCATTCCTCATTGCAGGGCAGAGTTGCTCTCTACAGTGAGTAGATTTTTAAGGGCTTCCATTATTTTACTCTTGCAGGCATTTGGACAATCATTCTCAATCCACCGCAAAGTGGCTGAAGATGGTGAAACACGTGAAGAGACTCTCCTGCAGGAGTCTGCATCAAAGGAAGCTTATTACCTAGGGAAGATCTTGGAGATGCAAAATGAGCTGAAACAGAGCAGGGCAGTGGTCACCAAGGTTCAAGCAGAGAATGAGAGGCTCACTGCTATTGTCCACGACCTGAAAGAGGTAAATTGATGAGGGTGAGGGATGTGGGCAGGGGATGGGACTAAGAATGGGGTTTTTTTGAGTTTGATAAATGGTATGGCTCTGAGTCTCAAAAATAGCCTTGTATCTATAAATATGGGAGTATCCTGCGGTAATCAATCCCAGGGACACCGCAACTGTGTGTGTGTGTGGGCGGGGCTTTTAAAAAGAAAACAATCACTGTTTTGAAAAGCTGCATTTGAAGTAAAACCAGGTCAAAAATTTATAATTTGAAAAGCACAGCAGGGTTTTCATCACTTACTGTTCAGGACCTGCAGAAAGATGCACTTCTCATAAATACCTGTTTTTTGTGTTCTCTTCTGTTCAGATGATTTCCTCTCTTCCTCTCACTTTCTGTTTTCTCACTCAGATTATTTTCGGTTGGCTATGCCTAGCCAGAGCTACCACTGCTTAGTTGTTCACTCTACTGTACAGGGGTCATGAGTTTGGTCATGTTTTGAAAGTTGGGATTAGGGAGGAAACAAACTGGCTAGCTAAGGTTACAGACTCCAGAGAATACATGTCTTCAGATTTCCTAGTCTTACCATTTTCTTAATAGAATAATGACAAACTGAATGAAGTGTAATAATTGGAGGTAACTACGCATCTCAGGTGCTTGTAGGCCTTTGGCCTGAGGAATAAACGTATCTCACATTACCCTCATACTCATATCCAGAAGTGTCCTGTTGCTTACATAGCTCATTGCTCCTCTCTTTCCAGGCATGCACATCTCACTGAGATTAATATCATAGGTCCTATGTGTCAGTAGGGAGTCAAGAACTGAGGTGCTGTTCTACTTTAAGTGACTGTGGACTTTGTCCCGTGTTCCACTACTGACACTAAGGCTTTGCCTACACTTGCAAGTGAAAGACAAAACTTTTGTCTTTCAGAGGTGTTAAAAAAGCACACACACCACAAAAGACAAAAGTTTTGCTGATGACAAGCGCCAGTATGAACAGTGCTTTGTCAACAGGAGCGCTTGCCTGCCGACAATGCTAACGCTGCTCGTTGGGGGTGGGAGTTTTTTTGTCGGCAGGAGCACTGTCTCCTGCTGACAAACAGTCGCTATGCTGCACAACTCTTACCGGCACAACTGTGTCGCTAAAAGCTGCATAGTGTAGACATAGTCTAAATAGAGTAGACAGAATCAGGCTCCAATACATAGAAACAGGTAGGAGAAATGCCTGCCACATTTTTGGGAGCTAGACAATAACAAAGAACTGATAAGTGCTCATGTAGTCATTACTGGCTGCTCTTGCCTGATTGCTCAGTTTTCAGAAAGCTGTTTAGTACATACTCTCCCAATCTGTGCCATATTCAGCCAGTTATTTGCAGCATTATTGTAGCCATGTTGGTCCCAGAATATGAGGGAGACAAGATGGATGAAGTAATATCTTCTATTAAACCAACTTCTGTTGGTGGAAGAGACAAGGTTTTGAGCTACACAGAGCTCTTCTTCTGATCTGGGAAAGGTAATCCCTTTTTGCAAAACAATCACTCCATATCTGGCCCCTCAGGCCTCATCCTCAAAGGAAACCTGCACAACACCTTCAAATGACAAGTTTGGAAGTTTAAATTCATAACTTTGCTAGACACTGAAAATCATGGATTCAGACATACTGGCTTTATGTGGGCATGTCTACACATAAACTGCTACAGCAGCACAGTGAAGATACAAACTACGCCGATGGGAGAATCCCTCCTGTTGGTATAGGTATTCCACCTACCTGAGATGCTAGGTTGATGGGAGAATTTTCCCATCAACCTACTGCTGTCTACACTTGGGGTTAGGTCAGTTTAACTGCATTGCTGAGAGCTATGGATTTTTCACCCCCCTAACTGACATAATTATACCAACCTAATTTCCTAGTGTAGACCAGGCCTGTTTCTTTACAACAGTCTGTAACCTACCAACCTTTATTTGTCCCAAAACTGCAGAGATGTTAATGGCCCACTTCATTTTGAAGTTACCACATGTGTTAACGCCTATGTTTAACAATCTGTTCTACTTCGTATTTAGCTGTGACACTCTGATTACCTTTCCCACACCCGAAGAAGAGCTCTGTATAGCTTGAAAGCTTGTCTCTTTCAACAACAGAAGTTGGTCCTATAAAAGATATTACCTTACCCACCTTGGCTCTCTAATATTCAACCAGTATGTTTAATAATCCATTTACAAAGAGAAATTAGAGAAGAACATGGTCTTGTGCTGTATGAGTAGAGAAACAAGCAAATATTAAGTCCAAAATCCTTTTTTTTTTTAAGAGGGGCTGTTGTTTGTTTTTTAAAATACTTAATAAAAAAATCATAAAGTACAAATTAAATTTAAGCTCCCCATGTTTTAAAAAAAACATTTTTAACCACTCCTCCACAATGCTGGAGATAGTAATTTTTGTGAGTGTATCATAACCCCACAGTATTCTGGTCTGGACTCAGTTGATCCTCTTTGGTGTGGAAAACAGATTGTTGGAGTCTCCCAGTGCAGGCCCTGTTATAGGTACCATGTTGCTAAGTTGCTTGAGGAAAGTGCACCTCCAACCCCCATCTGTGTTGGGAACTCTCTTCTGATTGGGTTCTGCTTCTTATTCTGGTCATGTGTTTCAGAATCAGGATGCTGATCATATACTGTAGGAGTGTCTGGTCAGCAGTTTTCCAATAGGGCAGAAATATCTGAATCCCTGCAAGGATATTTTGAACAATCAGGACATATTTGAAAGCCAATGGTTCTTATGAGCTCTGTGAATTGAGTAATCCCAGAGTTTAAAAAAACAGGAATTATTCCAACGATGTGCCATACTACTACAGTCTGTCAAGCTGTTTGAGCTGGATTTTCCTCATTATAAAAGGGGGATGGGGGCTGTCAGGGCTTTCTCTGTGAGGCCTGTGGGACTCTGGAACTTGTCCCACCCATCCTTGTGTGTGTGTCTGTCTCTTTCATGTACACACAGAAATAGGTTCAAATTGGTGCAAAAGACACCTGTCTGAGAGGGCTGAGGGTACGTGTCCCACAACAATGAAAGGTGGAAAGGAGTGTCTGGAGGTCTCTGACTGGCTGAGTTCCTATTGAAATTATTACATTAATGCTGCTGAGACTTCATTGTATTATTAATGATGTGTTGTGAGGTCTAGAACCTCGGCTAGGCATCCTAAAATTATTATTTTAAATCCAAATAAATAAATAAATAAAAAATAAATGTTTTCAAAAGTAAGCCCGTCCTTTGTCCTCCCCACCCAAGGCCTCTGGCTTGTGACATTCAAAATTTGTGGTCCTAGAGTTTAAGGCCAGAAGGGACCATCAGATCATCACATTTGACCCCCTGTATGTTACAGACCAGCAAGACTACCCATCACCCATACACTAAAGCCAACTACCAACATTGATTAGAGCCTCTTAAAATCTTTCAGTAATCTGAACCAGAGACCATATTCCGTTTTCATTAACTAAGTTTATAGTCATGAGGAACATTTTTCAGTAATCAGTGGCAAAGTTCAGATATATTATGGGAATGGTTGCTGGCCTGTATGTCTATAGAAATCAATATGGTTAACAGCTTATTTAACCTTTTATGTAGCTGCATGTGAACTGGTGAAAGGTGAAAATAAAGCCAAAAGTGTCACAATGTAACAGGATCTTTTTACAATATACTCTTTATCTTCTGTCACTTTTGCTGTGAATTTTGCTATATTTTAAATATTTTTGGTTTTTATGGGGGAGATTTGCAAAGGCACAAATGGCAGTTAGGAGCCCAGTTTTGCCATTTGTGCCATTGAAAATCTCCCCCTAGAATAGGATAAGGGGGCTCAGTGCTTTATAGTCCAGCAAGAAGATGAGGTCTCTGACCTGAGGAGCTTACAGCCCTACTTTAGGCTAATTCCATATAAACAATATGTGACCAGACTCAAAATCCGGAGCAGGAAGCTCTTGCGAGGGGGCCAGCTGTGGAAGGACTCTACATGTATGGGAACTGTAAATCTGATCCGAGCACAGCTGACAGGATGTAGAAAAGCATGAAGTTAAGAGTGGGAAACCGTATCGAGGGGGGCGGTTATGAGATCAAGTTGGGCGTAACCAAGATCTTGAGTTTGGACATAGGAGGAAAAGAGCAGAGATATAGGCAGAGTTGGAACTGTGCAAAGCTTAAAAGGGTAGGCTGAGGAGTTTGAACATGATGCAGATAAATCCCTTTTTTAGTCTCCAAACACGTTCACTGATAAGTTTTAAGGGCTGCCATTCATTCCAGCTCTCTTCAACCTATGGAAAAGGAACTTCAGATGAAACCTGGCAGACAAAGGGGTGAAACCATATTCTGTGTCATTGGAAACCTCTGCATAGCTGTTGGGACTGCAGAAAGGTACAGCCACCAAAAACCATGGCTGCCTGCAATCCAGTAGATAAAATAAATGAACATCAAGGCTTTGGTAATGGGAATGTTAAGGAGCTTAACCATCAGCGTACACCTGGTTTCCAGAGGGCATGGGGAAATAAGTAGCAGTGAAAGGGTGGATGGGGAGAAGAGAACAGGGTACACACTCCCCACAGACCTCTATCTTACACTGAGATTGGGCTGAGAGAGAAGTTTTAGGATCAAGTCCTGACCCTGCTGAAGTCAATTGCAAAACTCCCATTCACTTCATTGGCGTCAGGATTTCCCTTTTAATACCAAAAGGATATGGTGGATGAAACTTTGGACTATTTCTATTTCAAACCCATGCCAGACTTCACTGCTTCAGCAATTGAAATAGTTGTGCTGTGGATTTTTTCCAAGTATGAATAGCTACTATCAGGACCTTAATCACTAACTATTATAATTCCTTTTGTTCTGGGCCATTTAATGATGGAGAAATTTAACTGTGCATGAAATGGCCTTTTTGCTTCCAAAACTTGAGCAAGTTTTGTACCCAAATTGATTTTCATTCCAGAGACGTTGGAATGTTTGCATTTTTATACTAAAAAAAGGACCCTTTAAAAAATAAATATGGGC